GACGTTAATTTTTTTCAGGTTTCTAATTTTTATTGAAACATTTTTTCAGAGATTTGTTTTCTATGTAAACATTCTCAAAGAAGTTTGTTTCCTATGTAAAAAAATATTTTTATTCTTTTTCCTTATTAAGAGACAATTCTCCATGTTTTGTATTTCTGCATCTTTGTTTAGGACTGTCTTTTCAAGGATGATTGCATAGCAAATAGCTTTGGAAGATGGAGATAGTGTCTTCCTCTCAAGCACAGGGCAGACCTGCTTACTTATCATTATAAAAGATTCAGGTTCTCTAAATTCATGGTTTTCCTCCTGAAATAAAGCCCATGGCATGTGCAGTTATCCATTTCACGCCATCTGCCTTGTCCTTGTTAGGACTTGAGGGAAAGGAGGACTGCTGCAAGCGTGCTGATGCTCGTGCTCTCTGTTATGGCACAGTGACCAGGTCCTTTGTCTCTGACTCAGGAGTCTCAGTCTTCTGCCAGCATCCATGAGACTGTGGCAGCTAACTGTGTTAGCTCGAAGTAGGTAAAAATCTCAGATCCGTCATAGTTCTTATGTCTATCTATCCTTCACTTGTACACATTTTCCTTTTATTATTTTTTGCTCCCACATGCCCCAAACTGTCTCCCAATAGTCTCCTTAAAACAGTTCTCTGGTTTCTGTCAATTTAACTTATTTTCTATTAAATTCACCAGTTTATTATTGAGATGCTAAAATAAGAACAAGTTTAACATGCCTATACACACTCTAAAACATCTTCATTTTTCTAGATTGCTAGGTTCTCTAGATTTCTAGATTTTTAGTTTGAGTTTCTGTCATTAACTTTTAACATGTGTCTTTTCTTTAACTTTTATAGTTCATCAATCTGATATAAGTATATATATTTTTTTAATGTGGTAAAAACATATAATATTAAATTTACCATCTTAACCATGTTTAAGTGCTGATGTATGTTTTAAATGCATCATGAATGTTAGTAGTTTTTAGAATGTTCCTGTTGTATTTTGTTTAAAAGTACTAGAAAGTCATTATTCTGAGTAACCTGACATTTACATAAAAAGAATGTACATAAAAAGAATTATTAAAATTATAAGTTGCTTGAGTTTTTTTAAAAGCCCTCATTATATGTAGTCTTTACTCTCTGCTGCAGACATTGAGACAGTATAGCACAGTGATTGTGAGCATGATCTCTGGTGTCAGAGTGCTCGAGTATATTTTCTTGCTCTGCCACTGACTTTGTGTAAGTTATTTGAATTCTTTATGCTTTAGTAAAATGGAGATCATAATAGTACATACCTCAAAGTGTTACTGTGAATACTAAATGAATCATAATCAAAAGTGAAAGATACATCCTAAATAGTCTGTTTTAAAAATTCAGTCTGATAAACTTTGTGTTTAACTGTAGTATTAATCCATTTATATTTAATGGATTACTGATATATTTGTGTGTATATAAACCATATTATTTCATATATTCTATAGGCCCACTTGTTTTAGCGTTTTTTCTTACTTCACCTTCTTTTTTCAATTAATCAAATATTTTATATTATTCCATTTTATCTACGTCTATTGCATTTTTAGTTATGCATGGTTTTACTATTCTTGTAGTGGTTGCCATCAAAATTACAATGTGCATCCTTTACTTTTTGCAGTCCAATAAAAAGGTTTACTTTTACCACTTTCCCGGTAATGTTTAGAAGATTTTAGCTCTGTTTTGCTATCTCTTATTTTTATTTAATTATTGTCATACATTTTAAGTTTACATATATTTTAAACCCTCTGAATATTATTGTTTTGTACAGTCAGTGTTTATTCATATTTACCCACACATTTATCCTTTCTGTTGTGCTTCATTTCTTTCTGCATTTCTGTTTCCATATGGAATCATTTTTCTTCTGCCTGAAAAACTCCTTTAGTGCTTCTTCTGGTCCAGGTCTGTTGATTAATCACTGTAGTTTTTGTCTGAAAATGTCTTTATTTTGTTCTTTTTAAATTTTGGGGGGGGTATAGATTTTTAGGTTGGCAGTTATTTTCTTTCAGCACTTTAAAGATGTTATTCCATTGTTTTAGGCCTTCTCTGTCATTTCTATTGAGAGGTAAGTTGTCAGACTTATTCTTTCTCCTTTGAAAGCAATTATGTGTTTTTTTGTGTGTGTGAGGAAGATCAGCCCTAAGCTAGCATCTGCCAATCTTCCTCCTTTTGCTGAGGAAGACTGGCCCTGAGGTAGCATCCATGCCCATCTTCCTCCACTTTTTATGGGACACCGCCACAACATGGCTTAACAAGCGGTGCATCAGTGCGCACCCGGGATCCGAACCTGCGAACTCCGGGCTACCGAAGCGGAGCACGCACACCCAACCGCTTGTCCCACCGGACCCGCCCCTATGTGTTTTTTTTTTTAATCTTCGTCTTTGATATGTCGAAGGTGTGTTTTTTTTTTTTATATTTATTTACCTGAATTCGCAGAGCCTTTGATTCTTTGAGTTGATGTCTTTTATCAGTTTTAAATAATTCTCGACTATTTAATCTTCATATAGTTTTTCTGTCACATGTTTTCCTGCCTGTCTTTCTAGGACTCTAATAAATATATGTTATGCCTATTCACCATGACTCAAACATCTCTTATAACCTCTCTCCTTTATGCCTCCTTTTTTCTCTTTGTGCTGCAGTTTAGATATGTTCTACAGAGTTATTTTTCAATTCAGAAATCTTTCTTTAAACTGTGTTTCAAATGCTATTAAATCGATCTATTGAGTTCTTAATTTCGGGTATTCTAATATTCAGTTATAGAATCCCTATTTAATTCTTTCTTAAAGATTTCACTTCTCAGAAGGAATTCTCCATGTTTTCAAGTATTCTTTTTCAATTTTTTCCCCTCTGTTTTCCAGAACACATTAATCACAGTTATTTTAAAGTCCTGCCTGTTAACTCCAATATCTGGATCACTTATCAGTCTGTTATTTTTTTCTCTTGATTTTTGATCATGCACATCTGTCTTTGGCTTGCCCCATAATTTTTAATAGAATGCCAGATATTGTGTATAATATAGAGACTCTAAATGTTGTTGTCTTCTACTAGAGAGAATTCATACTTTTCTCTGCAAGGCAGATAGAAGTGAGAGGAGATCATCTCAATTCAATCATGGATTGTGGTGGTTACAGTTTTTCTAGGACTTAGTTTACCTCTGATTTATTCATTTTCTTAAGTGTAGTCCTCTGGGGATTTCAACTGTGAGCCTGATGTGTTCAAGACCCCTTTATCTGTCAGGTTCTGAACTCTAAATCTTTAATGCCTCTGTGTTTCAGAGTTTGGGGTTAGATTTTTAGCATTGCCCTGCCCCTCATCCCCTTGCAAACATCTTGATGGGGAAACAGACCATGTGTTTTCAGGCTCCGCAAATCTGCAATTTTGTCTTTCTGGCCCAATAAGACCACAATAAACCTGTTTCTCAGTTCCTTAACAACAGCTCTCTGCCAAGTCTAAAACCAGATTCTTTCTCTATTGCTTGTTATCAGCAAATGCCCCCAGGGAGAAAGCACCTGCAGATTGATAGTTCACCTTTCAGAGGTTCTGCCCTCTTCAGAATCTTAGCCCCTCTTGTCTATGCTGACAACTCATAGAGTTGGAAGCATCCACAACTCTATAAGGCCTTCAAAAATTGGATATTGTTATATTATATCTGGATTTATTTTTAATAATTTTTGGTAAAAAATGTGGTCTTTGCACACTACTCATTTCCTGTAAATCCAGAGTCATCCAATGAGTAATTAATTTCCTGAGCTTAAAACTTCTATCCCTAAACAGTAAAAGTTGAAAAATGCTTTTGAATTTCGTGTCATAATTTCTAGTACCACATGCATGATAATAATAAAGTTACATAAAAGTAAATTATTTTTCAGCTTCAATATAAAATCACATGAAATAATAATGCTGGATCAGATACTCTCTATTTGAAGGCTTTCACATTTCTACAAGATGTGAACTGTGATTTTTCTGTTTTTGAAGGTGATAGAATCTATTTCTTTTCTTTTTTTTTTTGAGTGACTAGATAGGAATAATATCATGAAGAAAAGAGTGGAGAAGTACCAACTCTAGCATATAAGGTAGAGAGGCACATAGTTCAAAAGATACAGTATGTGAGGGATGGATGTTTTAGATTAGTGTTCCTCAAAAAATGAACAAATAAAGAGATACCTAACTATTCTGCTAGGTATCAAATTCTGAAGTATAAAATATGAATATCAAATTCTGAAATAAAAAACAATGAAGTATGTAAAAATGGGAAAATAAATCCTTATCCTATTTGTATATACAAAGAATGTTACTGCTGGTTATACAGTTTAAATTGTTAAATGAATACAAATGGCTAAATTGTATGATAAATCAGAAAGAGTATAATATCATAAGGATTAATTAATTGCTAGTAAGTTTTTAGATTACTAGCTTCCTGTAGCCTATTAATTTACATCTTCAATGTGTATAAGGGGTTATGATATTTAAGAGAGTGTGGATCATTTTGCTGAGACAATTTATTAATCCAAGATTGCTGCATAATCAATTTAAATAGTTATTGTTAATATCTTTTTATTTCATGTATTAATAATTAAATATTAACAAATAATACTATATAATTGGCCAAATATCTTATACTTATATATTATTGAGATTATAACCTGCAGGTTAGGAAAAAGTACAAGAATTGATGTCTGAATTTGACATTAGATTATAGCTAATAACTGACCCCTAATATGTTTAAATAATGTATGCAGAAACACTTTCCTAGAAGCTCATATAATCAACTCTTCTTTTGTTTTAATGTTTCATTGACTTAAACTCTCTTACTTCTTATCCCATTTAAAAATTTTCTTTTTTACGAATATATGTCTGTCTCTATTTAATGACAGAACACTATTGATGAGCTTCATTGCAAACTTATTATTTATAGTGCCACTTGTATTGATAAAAATAAATGATATACTCGTTTTACTCCTTCTTTCAATATGCTTTTTGGAATTCACAGGTCGGTGGAATTTCTGATGAACCACCTAACTTGACTAACCGATCTGCTGCTTTCTTGTCAAGAACAGAAAGAACTACTAAACTATCAGATATGGTAAGAAGCCTCCTCTATAACCAAACTTGTTTGTAATCTAGGAATCGTGGCAGAGACTGCATAACACAAACATTATAGTAGGACCTGAGAGAGGTACCTGGTAGCCTGCTGTAACATCTTTGGCTAGTATGATACTTCCATATTTTTAAAGTTCAACAAAATTCTTGAAGCTAAACAGAAGTCCAGCATTGCTCTGTGGGAGAATATTACAAGGAACATCTCCTGTAGGGTCAGAGAGCATTCATTCTTAGGACACGTAGGAAAACTGAACTCGTGTTGTATGTGAAGTGGAAGGTTCACTTTAGGTTCAACTCAGTTTACTTGGAAGTGTAACTTTTTTCCCTTTTCAATTTGAATCTATCTTGAAACCTAAGACTCTTCAGTAATATTTTTTATCCCTGTTAATCTGTATTTTAAACTGTGTCGATATAAATTTTTCTAACTGAATTTCTGTTTTTTATAAATAGCTAATATTGAATAAATTGAAATAAGTAAAACAGATGAAATTTAAAACTGTATACTTGACTATTTTCTTCAATTTAAATTTACTAAAGATTAAAGTGAAATTCATAGTTAAAAAGTTAGACTTGTGTATACAGATATTGTTAAAATAAATTTTTATACAAATTGGGCTGTCATTGTAAGATATTATTAATAACAAATTACCAGAACAGGATCATCAACCAGGTTTTAAAATGTAGCCAATCAACTAGAGAAGTAGCACTGCTTGATGAAATAAAATTCTAGTAGGTGCACCATGCCAAGAGTTGATTTATAATGTTTTCAATGGTGAAGTGACTGGTACAAGATTAGGATGAACTAATTTAAAGCAAGTACAAATGCAATGCTAGCTAAATTAATATAGCTGTGCATGTCTAGGAAATCATAGAAATTAGATTAATTGGGTGAGAGCAATTCAGGAATGGACTTATTTTTTTTTCTGAGAAATTAGTTGACTGAATCTAAGAGATGGGGTCAAAATTAGCATCAGGTTCTATGAGATTTTTTGTAGCTGTAAGTTCAAAAGACAGTTTACAATCATCTAGTAGTGTTCTTGACGTGTAAGAGAGTCTGATAATTGTTAAATAAATGTGTTGTTTTCATAGATCATTTCTTCATCTTGAGGAATTTTAGGGTTGTGTTGTGTCTCTCAAGTGAGTCATTATCGTACACACCTTAGGATCCACCATGAAGTATGTCATAAGTAATTTATTACCAATATAAAGCTTTTAAGCTTAGGAATATTTAGAATGAATTCATAGTTATTTGTATCACAATATTATAGCTACTAGAAAAAAACAATGCAAATCTCTGAAGGTACCTGTAGGAAATGCATATGTAAATGTAATACTTTATGTTTATAGTGAAAAAAGATGGTGGAGATCTGCTTTATAGGAAGAAGAGTTGCTCTATCGATTGCTTTTACTTAATTTACATTTTTCTCTTTTAACTTTGTCTCTTACTGGATCTGGAAACTCCTTTTTAGAATTGTCTTTTTTTTTTTTGGCATGAAACACTTGTAATTAAAAGTGTTGGGTGGAACTCTGCGTACCTAAGAAGCAAAAAAGTTTAGTCACATAGAATACTTTGGTTTTTGAATCCCTCCTGCAAATGAGAATACCCTTCAAACATGTGGGTGTATAACATGTATCTAGTGAAAAATCTAAATTATTGATCTCAGATCAAAATTGATCTCAAAGTTATGAAATAATGGAATTAATTTTATAATTTTCACCTCAAATAAAAACATTAGAAAATTCACCTCTTACATATTTAAAATTTATGTATAGAGATATACTGCAATCTTGAAGGAGGGCATATGGTTTAATTTTCAGCATTTACATAAAAGTTTCACATAAAATATTAAAATACCCAGACTCCTGGTTTCATATGAAAGATCATAGGTATACATCTCTCTTCCTGTTACAAGATCCCAATGAAATAATTAAAAAAAACCCAAAACTACAACATAAGCTTTAGTTAAATATAAAAAGGCAAAGAGATTGAAAATATAAAAAGTGGAGGCTAGACACAAGCCAAACATTTGTTTATAGGCATTCCAGAAGCAGAATGCTGACATAATAGTTGGGAGTATTTGATATAAAAAACAGTAAGTTATCCTGAGCTGAATAAAGATATAAGTCTTCACTTAGAAGAGCTCAGCAAAATACTGAGGAGGATGAATTTTTGAGATATATATTCTTTTCATATTCTTTTGCATTTTCAGAAGACTAGATTTATTTCTAAATACCCTTGAAGCCTCCACAGAGAAAAGTAACTGGGTCACCTACAAATGGATGAGAAACATACTGATATCAAGACTTTTTCAGCAGCATTAGCAACATGTCAGAGCTAGGAGATGATGAATAATAATTTTGGATATGAAATACTGCCTCTACCCAAAATTTCGATTAAATGAATCCAAAAAATAATCTCATGACACTCAAGAGCTCAGGTTTAGTACCTCTTCTTCCTCATATGTGAAGATGCTCCAACAAAATAAAAAAAGGAAAACAAGAGGAAGGCGACATAAACATAAAGAAGAATAGAAATTGAGCATTTCCTGGATGAAGTAAAGAAAAGTGAAAACACATTAACAAAGAAGACATTTTTAGCTCATGCGTGGGACATTCTTCAAGAGTTAGAAGTTTAGTGACAGAATTTCATTTACTTCTCTATGTGTTTGGCCACACTACTTGGTTCAACAGGGAATAATCATGATATTCTAAATTCTGTCTTAATATTGATTAATTTTAAATCAATCTGTACAAATTACAGAGGACTTAATTATAATATAAAAATTATAAATATTAGAAGCCTTAATATCAATAACGAAATAATAAAATCAAGAGATCAAAGTTTGAGAGGCAGTAAAATGTGCCAAATTTCTTATTTCATAGTGCAAAGTTAACAGACGTTATCAAAAATTGTCAAATTACTGTATAAGTCCTTATATTAAATTTGTAATGGTAAATAAAAAAAAAAATAACCCTAAGAATCTCAATTACTGTTAAAAGGAATTATTTCTGAGAATGGAACCAGGGAGAGGCCAAAGAGGACAATTTTACTGTTTATTTTAGACTCTTGTATATGATTTGATTTTTACTTATGATGTGAAGATATTATTTTAAAATAAAAATAGTACTTGTGAGTTAATGAGTGTGCATTTGGAATGGCATTATGATATACTGGTGCTTGGACTGATCCATTCTCTGCAAACAACCAAAATTCTTGATAAAATAGAAACAAAACATATTTGTGAATGCTTTCAAGTCTTAGAAAGAAATAAGGAGTACAGAGGCTAAATGCTGAATTAAGGAGGAACCCAGAGGGGCAAGTCGAGTGCTGAAGCTAACTTTCACTCTGAGGACATTTGCCAAACCAGATGACATTGAGTGTTCATTTTTATAGCCTCAGAGGCCTCCAGGGAATGAAACAAAGCCTACCACTCTGTCACAGTGCGTAGTCTCAAAGAAGATTCACTAATACAGTTAAAACTCCAAAGGACAACCTATGCAAGTTAGGAGTGAAATGCAAATTAATTTACCCTTCCTACCACCAGAGGATTTAAAGGAAGATGGCCTGTGTGGAACTTTCTGGTTTTGAATGTGTGTTAGGGGAATCACCCCTGGGAATCTGTTACATTTCACCTTCGTTTAATGAGGTGAATTGTTAAAAAACACAAAATACCTGTTTGTTACAGATATTAATGAAATTAATTTCATTAATAAAAATGAAAGCTAATGCTTATATAGTGCTTGTCCTATGCCAGGCACCATTCCAAATGTATATTAACTCATTTGAGTACTATAATTATTATCATCTTTAAAACTGAAGAAACTGAAGCAAAGAGTTTAAAGTTTAAATGGCAGAGTCAGAATTCAAACCGAGGCAGTCCAGCAACAGAGTCCACTCTCTTAAGGATCTTTCTGTGCTGCTGTCCTCTGGCTTGAGGAATTAGACTTGACTAAAATAAACATGACAGTATAATAAATGATTTTTAGGATTTAAAACAAAAGAGATATGACTGTAAATATCTCAGACATTATTATAAGGTATAAAACCTTTTATTTAAAATAAAAAATGCAACTTCTGATTAGCAGAAACTGATAGAGGATTCAGCATCATAGACAATATTGAAGTTAATAACTTTCCTCTCGTTATTGGGAAACTAAAAATTAATTAACTAATGACTATTTAGTGGGAAAGTCATTGGAAGAATTTGATATACTTTCTTAGGTCAATTCATGGCTCAGAGAGGGGCATCATTTGGCTGGTGATAACTGGTATCAAAAAATATCACAAAACATACTAACATTTTCTAAAAATTAACAAATGACTTGAAATTTTTAGAATTATTTGGCAAACAGTTCGCACTACAACCTTTATCCTTGATAAACAGTTTTATAATACATAGAGTTGAGAATGAAGGGAATTTTAAAAATAAATTTTGATTTATATGTTTGTGTTAATTTTTATTAATTTGAGTTGTTAAATATTTTGAATATCATCCCTGAATAGGTTAAAGCCTAAGAGAAAAAGCTTTGGAATCAGAGAAAGGTTTTTCTCATCTCTGCTCCACCTTCTAGATGCGTGAGCTTAGGCAATGCTGCACACTCCGCTTCAGCCTGGCTTTCGCGAGTTTGGATTGCGAGCGCGGACCTGCACACCGCTTATCAAGCCATGCTGTGGCACGGGTCCCACAAGTAGAGGAAGATGGGCACAGATGTTAGCTCAGGGCCAATATTCCTCAGCCAAAAAAAAAAAGAGGGTAATAAATTAAATAGAGATAACCTGATAGGGTCATAGTAGGAACTAAGCCTTTTATTGCTTCCAACACTTGTTTTCTTGTGTTACTCATTGTAAGCTAAAGTAAATTAGCTATAAAAACTGTAAATGGCAGGGTTATGGCTCAAAGCCAAGTCAATCCTGTACCAAATCTTGTGTTCTCTTTTTGTCATTCCATAGTATTAATGAAGGGCATATACTGAAATATGGTA